TTCATTCTTGTTCAAAACGCTCCGGCCTTCGGACAGTTATAATTTCATGAATGTTAAAATTGTAATGGATAGGCAGTCACAATTTCAAACACGGATCTTATCCTGCATTCAGATAAGTCTATTAATTCTTTCTTCAATTCATATTTAATTATTATTATGTTTACGATTGTGTTTGGTATTTTTATGGGAGTTATTGCTTTGTAATTCGATGTCTTTTAATGATAGTGAGGATTTGGTTGTCGTCGGACATGGAGTATATTTCTACTAGTTGGCTTTGCCATTTTTGTTTTTGTGCTGCTGAAGGCATAGTTTGTATAGCTTGTGAAGCATTTTCGGTGGAGCTCCGGTTGTATTTTAATTTTGTTTGTCCCGTTAGGGGTTGTCTGCGTGTTATTTTGCAGTTACCTTGCACATCAAATCTACTGTTAGGCTATTAGAACTCGACGAATTGGTGCTTGAAGGAGTTTGTTGAAAGAAGACTTTCTTTGCGTTTTTTGGTTTATTTATGTTACTAGGCATACTAACAGGGCTGCCCATCGCGTGGCACAAACGGCCCTTGCATCGGTAGCAATCCAGTTGGTTGACTACCGCCTTTATATTTCCACTGCATTGTAACACTCTATCTATTACAAACTATCTATGACAAAAAAATGCCAAAACCTTGATATAATTTGGGAAAACAATTAACAAAAGTCCAAATTGGTGAAAACAATTAAGTAATTACTAATTAACCAAACAATGAAATTGAACACTTGCTTGCTAATCAACCAAACAATTAAGTCCCAACTGATCCTTCCCCTGCTCCACGTCCAACTCCCACCGTGGCTGTCACTTCTGCTCAAGCTCCGGCTAGATTACACTCTGGCTCCCTCCCTTCCTATTCCAAGATGATTTTCGTGGCGATTAAGGCATTGAAAGAACGTGACGGTCCGAGCAAGAGGGTGATACTGAGGGATAAGTTGGAATAACTTCATAGTGCTCGTCTCATGGATGATGGATGTTTGATTGTCGCATGCGCCTCCGATCGGCTGTCTGGTGTCCCCGAATTTTGTCGGGAATCCTCTGCTCCCCGACTCCTCGACCCACACCTAACGGTGGCGATGACGACGTTTCTCCCAAGAAGCCGAATCCTCAGGCCGCAAGGGGAGACTGAGAGACGCAGCAGCTGATCGCAGAGACGCAATGGCAGATCGACGCGGGCGTCTTCTCCCAGGCTTTGTGCGCCTAGGGTTAGCAAATGGCCCTAAGGCCTTAGCCGATGTCATGCTTAAAATGGCATAGTTTCAGTAAGTAGTCAGAAGCTAGTAAAACCGGCCAAACCCCGATTTTTCCTGGTTTTGACCGGCTAAGACTAAAATATGGCTGGCTGGAGCCGTTTTTGTGTCCGATTGCAGTCCAACCCGGTGTAACCAGCTGGTCCGACCCCGACTTAACAACATTGGTCTCATAGTTAAATTTAATGGCAAATACAACTACAACACCTGAACTATAAAAAAAATGCCACATGTGTCCTAATGTATCAAATATTTCATTCATGTCCTGAACTATGATACCATGAGCCATTTGTATCCTAACGGTTTCGTTGATTGTTAGATATAGCGGTTGACCAGACGGTTTTGAAAATGACGTCGGATTGGGGTCGATGTGGCAGCAATGTGGCAGGCGCATTGATGTCATGTCATTGCCACATCATTTTATAATACAAAATTAATTTAAAAATCATAATAAATAAGTTAAAGATCCATCTTCTTCACCCATCAGGCTGTTGAGCGGAGGGTGCGGCTGGTGCTGTAAGAGGCTCACCGCCACCAGAATTCTGGGGAGAGTTTGTAGAAGAGATTGTGGGGGGTTATTTTGAGGGTTATTCTGGTAAGAAGCTCACCAGCATCATCTTTCTGATTCCAGATGGGTGGGGTTATTTAGAAGATCTCAAATCAGACTATGGCGGTGGTGGCAATGAGGAGGAGAGGGCATTGTGGTCGGAAGTCAATTTTGGGAGAGGATAGCAATAATTCAGGACACAAATTGAATATTGAATAAATTAGGACACAAGATTTAGTAGGATCCACTGTCACAAAGTGGCACGTGGGTTTAGATTTCTGGGTAAAAAAAACAAATAAATGTTAACAACGCGTATCTTTTTTTTTTTGACAATTAATCCAACTTTTATTCCACCTTTAAACAATGTAATCAAATTAAAATCTTTAAAGAAGATCAGAAATTAGATCAAGAATATTAATCCAGTCATCAGGCATATTAGATCTCGCTTTTGATCGTGCCACCCAATCCGCTCCGACATTCAATTCTCGTGGCACCTCTTTGACTTTAATGCCAGGATTTGTCCTGAGGATACTAATCATCGAACCAATCCATGCTGCACAGCGCCAAGGCCATCTTGATTTCTCTTTAGTCTTTACCCAATGCTTTCACCAGTACCTGACAGTCAGATTGGACAATGCATTCGGATCCATATTCTTGTGCTAATTTTAGACCTTCTAAGAGAGATTTTGCTTCCGCTTCAATCGGGGTAGAACAAAGAAGAGTCTCAGCTCGCCCATCACACACTTGTCCATGGTGGTTAATCGCAACAACACCATAAGCCGCCGACTGGGAGTCGCTAATGAACGACCCATCACAATGAATCTTCATAGGATGATTACTTGGCGGGGAAGTCGTATCAGAATGGGTTCCCCTGAGCTGAGTCGAAGAGGCAGGAGTAGGGGGGCTAGGCCTCGGGCAAGATATCCATTCAGAGAGTTCTCTGAAAGTTTGCAGACCGGCGTTCGGGGGCCACGAAACTCTATTCTTGAACGTACATTCATTCCTTGCCTTCCATATATTCCAGCAAAGGAAAACGATATGGATAAAGGATTCTTGAGAAATGACCTCCTTAATAGCACAAATCCAATCAAAGAACGAAGAATCCTTGGGAGGGAGAGGGAGAGAAGGGAAGACATTGATCCAAGCTTCACTGGCATGAGGGCAGTAGAAAAGGCAATGCACAATGGACTCGTTTGAGCTATTGAAAACTTGACAATTCGGGTTAGGGGCACATTTTCGCTGAAAAAGCCTCGCTTTAGTTGCCAACCCATTCCTGGAGCACCTCCAGATGAAGAACTTAAGCTTAGGTGGAAGGTTCAAGCCCCACATCCATTTCCATTTGTCCACTGTTCCCATCGGTTGGAAATTTATGTTCGCTTTGTGAAAAGCGTGGTAAGCCGTCTTAATCGAGAACATTCCTTCTTTAGTAAGATTCCACACCCAAAAATCATCCTCTCCTTCTTCCCCAATCGGGACTCTTAAAATAGCATCAAATTCCTCAATAGATACGTGGCCTCTAATAGTGTCCGAGATCCAAACTCTATTATCTTGATCAATCCAATCTTTGAACTTAATCCGCTGTTGGGGCCCACTTTTAATTGTGAAATTCTGAATATTGGGAATCCATGGGTCATGTCCCACCCAAGTATCCTTTCCCGAGCCAATAACCTTAATTGCCCCCAAATTCAGTACTTTTTTTTTGCCTCCCATAGACTTGCCCAGATCCAAGAGGATCTACTTCCCTTCTTAGCGTTCACGAAATCTCCTCGTGGGAAGTAGATTCCTTTAAGGAGGCGGCTCCAAAGGGAATCGGGCGAAGAAAGAAGGCGCCAAGCCTGTTTTGCCAAAAGTGCCATGTTGAAATCTTTAAAGCTCCGGAATCCCAACCCCCCTTCAAATTTCGGAGCAGAGAGAACCTCCTTTCTACACCAGTGCAAGCTACTTTTCTGCATAGACCCCGACCAGAATAAATTGGTGAGGAGAGAATCCATTTTCTTGGTAAGATTCACCGGGATGGAACAGATACATGATGTAGGATGGGATAGCTTGAATAACGGCCTTTAGCATAATTTCTTTCCCCCCATGAGATAGTAGAAGGCTCTTCCACGCTTCCTCCATCTTTTCCATTCTTTGGATGAGGAAGCAAAAAGTTTCTTTTTTCGAATTTCCCCATTCCGTCGGAACGCCAAGGTATTTAGAGTGGCAGTTTGTGGAGGCAAATCCCAAATGGGCAATGATGGTTGCTTTTTCATCAACTGGGACATTTGCACAGAAGAAAACGGAGGACTTGTTGATATTCACTTCTTGTCCCGTGATTGCTCCATAATTGCTGATAAGATCAAGAAATTTACCTGCTTCCTGAATGTTAGCCTTCCCAAAAATAACAGTGTCATCTGCGAACAGACAATGTGTGATAGCGGGACATCTAGAGTTCAATTTGATCCCTTTCAGATGGTCCCGAGCCACCTCCTTATCGTTCAAAAAGGTGAGAGCATTAGACATTAAGATGAAAAGGAAAGGGAAAGAGGATCTCCATGTCTGATGCCTCGCGACGGGGTAAAAAGGTCTGTTGCTTCTCCGTTGAAAAGAATCGAGAACTTGACCAACCGGATGCAAGCACTGAACCATTTACACCATCTAACGTCAAAACCATACTTCTCCAAAAGAGCCTCAAGGCAATCCCAATCCACCATATCATATGCCTTTTTCATATCCAACTTGAGCATCATATCTCTTCTCGTACCCCTCTTGTGATTTTTGAAATGATGAAGAGCCTCGTGGACTATGATGATGTTATCTTGTATAAGCCTCCCTCCGGTGAAAGCCGTCTGAAGTTCCGAGATCAGGTCGGGTGTCCACTTCTTGAGGCGAGTTGCCATAATCTTGGATATAATTTTATATCTATAATTACAGCAGTTGATAGGCCGAAACTGATGGATCATCTCAGGATGGTCAACCTTTGGTATCATAACAATATGCGTATCGTTCCACCCCTCTGCATGCTGGCCGACTCAAAGAAACCTTTAATCTCTCTACACAGGGCCTCTCCAATAATGTCCCAGAATCGGCGGTAGAAATGACTAGAAAAACCATCGGGACCCGGAGACTTCTTCACTCCCAGCGAAAAGACAGCTTTCCTAATCTCCTCATTTGAATCTGGGGCACATAGCTCTTCATTCATCTCGACAGATACTTTATTAGGAAAACCATCCAAAAGGGTGTTGGACGGGATAGGATTTCTGGCTCTAAAAAGATCTTTGTAGAATTCTTGTGAAATTCCCTTAAGCCTATTCTCGTCCTCAATCCAGTTTTCCACTTCATCTTTTAATCTAAGGATTCTTTTCTTATGTCTTCTATGAATCGTGCTAGAGTGAAAAAAGGAAGAATTCTGGTCACCTTTTTGAAGCCACATCACTCTCGAGCATTGATTCCAAAATGCCTCCTCATCAAGCCAAATATTTGCTAACTCCTCCGTAAGTCTCTTCTCTTCCTCCACCCTTTCCTGTGATCTGGGAGGCTTTTGGAGAACGTCAAGTCGTTCAAGAATTTTATGTTCCCTCTTTGACCTGTTATGATGGTTATCCTTCGACCACTCTTTTAAGTCCCTTTCACATTTGTTAAGCTGGTGGGATGATGGGCCTCCTGGATCCCAGGACCGGGTAACAATCTCTGTGCATTCATCTTTTTCCATCCATCTTTCATTGACCCTAAATGGTGTTTTCTTCCTCCTACTCCCCATGTAGTGAAGCTCCAGTCTGATTGGGCAATGATCGGACTTTACCATTTTCTTGTGAAACACCACCGCTTCACCAAAGAGTGCTCTCCAAGAAGTTGAGCACAACACTCGATCTAATCTGACCCGCGTTGTATTCAGGCCTGTTCGCTTGTTGGTCCAAGTGAAAGACTCCCCTTTGAAGCCTAGGTCAATAAGGGCGTTGTGGAAGATGAACCTTTTAAAAGGTTCCACATTCTCGTACCTAAGAGGGCATCTTCCCTCTTTTTCATTTTCATAAATAGCGGCATTGAAATCCCCAACAACAACCCAATTATCATCCCTACTACTCCGAAAAGAGCTCAGGTGCTCCTAAAATTCCCTTCTACTAACAGTGGTAGAGGGTGCATGAACAAAAGTGCAGAAAAAATTCCTACCCATATCAATACTAACATCCATATAGTAGCTATCACTACTTATTACACTAATACTAATACCCGATTTCCACCATAAAGCAAACCCCCTAGAAGTGTTAACCGGTTCAACATACTCTCTATTGGGGAAAATTTTGAGACTTCTTCTTTGTTCTTCCATGAAAGCCTCATTCTTGCTAGTTTCCATAAGAAAAACAATAGAAGGGCCTAAACGTCTACATAGACGTTTAGCGTAACTTCTTGTAAGAGGTGGGCCAAATGCCCTACAATTCCAACTTACAATACTCATTCCCGGCGAGGTGGCTTCTGGCGAACCACCGCTGCCCTCGTGTCCCTTCCTTGCTCCCCTTCAGAGAAACCCTCCCTCGGTTTGTTGATCGTCTATATTTTTTATTCTTCTTCTTCTTGTTATTTTCCCCAAGCCCTCCCATGAATACCGTCTCTGCTGGGCCAAACTGACTTTCGGCTAGATTAATTTTGCCACTATTGGGCCTGTCCCTGCTCAAAAGGCTCGTCCCTTTTCTTTTCTTCAGCCTGCGCCCCATCTCCTCCTCCAAGGCCTCCTGCTGATGCTGGTACATATATATATATCTGTTGGGCCTAGATTGACAACGTTTTGGGATCCTCCTTCTCCTTCCACTTGCTGTGCCGACTCTAGGGTTAAGCCCGTTTCCACTGTCTCCACCTCCGTTGCAATTTGATCGGCGCTCCCCTGGAAACCCTCTTCTTCCAATAAGAGACTTCCTTCCATTGCCGCCACTGTTTTTTCCAGCTCCAAATTCAGATTCCTTGCTCCCATCTCCTCTCTATATCTCCCTCTCTGTCTCCCTTGATTCTCTTGCTCCTCCCTATTTTGAGACCACATATCAATCCTCCTGATGGTGAATCCAGGGGGAACTTGTGAATTCCTCCCCTCTTGAACTCCTCCTACCCGCGCAGCCGCCCCATCGCATTCAACACCCTGCCGATAATAGTCCCCAGACCTCAATCTATCTCTTACTGACTGAGAGCTTCGAGATCCTTCCCCTTCTCTGCTGTTTCTGAAGTTACCCGATCTGTTTGGAGAGTCTATCCCAGCCTTGAGTGATGCGTTGTATACTTCCGACATGTAAGTCACCTCGGTTCTCTTCCACTCCTCGTCCATTCTCCAGCAAGTCGGCCAGTTATGGCCTATCCGCCCACAGAAGTAGCACAATTCCACAAGCCTCTCATACTTAAAATCAATCACGGCGCAGTAATCCACCCATGTTTTCTCATCTGTGAATGGGAAATCGAATCCTGTTGGAACCTGCTCCCTGAGATCCACCTCCACCAGAATCCGCATAAATCTTCTGTATCCCGTAAATTCCATACTAGCTCTGTCCAGATCGAGGAAGCCTGGGAAGTAGTGGGTTCCTATCTCCAAAGGTATTTCCTATGGCTTCCTTCTCCCGTTGTACTTCTCTATAGTTGTCAGAGTGTTTGATAAGCTCCATGGTCTGTCTCTCTAGATCCTTTCTCTAATCTCCGGGTTACTAAAGGTGAAAATGAAGAGGTTTTGTGTATCAGTAGGTTGAACATTAACCTCTCCATACCCACCCCAAGCATAGCGAGCTGCTCCTGCTGCTTTTGCCAAAGCCACCCTGTTCTCAGTTAACATCCTCCCCAGCATCATGGAGATTCCACGACCACCAGTGGAGATCAGGTTCGGGCCGCCACCTCTTCCTCTTGTTGTTGTTGGGATGACTCAACCAGCATTCCTAGCTTCATTCTGCGCCACACTGTTGATATCCATTGGGATTACAGAGGGATTGACTGGTTTTTTATGTTTCGTGGTTTTTGCAGGGGGAACTAGAGTATAGAATCGGAACCAGAGGGAAAGAAGGGGATGATTTCTTTTGTGAGCAATAAGAACTCTCCTTTTATCTATGTCCTCTTTATGGCTCTTGCTAGGTCGTTGAACCATATACCCATCTTGATGGCGGTAGATATCTTTCCTTTCAAAGCCTTCATTACTCCTCTGTTGACTGAGCTTTACCCTGCTCTGTTTCATCCATGCTGTAACAGGGGCTCTTGGCTCAAAATTCTCCCTGCCCTGTACTTGAATATTCGTACTTTGTTCATAGTATAGCCTCTTATCTCTTCTATTCCCTTCCTTCCTTTTCTTCTTCTTAATATGCCAGTAAAGCACACACCACCACCGGTCTGGTGGTTTCCAAACAGCACCCCTCTTTATGACTCTGGCTGAACCTCCCCTGAGTAGTCTTTTCTCTTTACGAGTCTTTGCTAATGAATTGCAGTTGTATCTTCCCTCCCCTTGGTAATCTCTACACTGTGTGAGATCCTTCCATACATCTAAGTGATTCTTTCGAAATCTCTTTGTAAGAACTGGACGATTCCCAACCACGGGGACGGAAAAAGAACCGTTGGAAGGTTCAGAGAAAAAGCCCGTTAGAGAGAGAGGAGAGAGGCATAAATTTTTTCGTCTAGAGCCCGAGACGCAACAACGCGCATCCCGTTGATATCTATAGGAAAAAAAAAAAAAAACAACGCGCATCCCCATGTTAGCATACCCAACTCCCTTGGCACACTCGATTGAAGCCCCTCACATGCGAATTTTCCCTAGGTCAGCCCACTGCAGCCAATAAAAACCCAACCATTTTGCTCAAGTCGACGCTCGCAGCCTTACTTCCCAACAGTCTTTCTCCGCGCTTCTCCCTCCGCATCTGAAGCGTCAGCTGCATTTTCAGGTGATGATCTTGATTCTTGTCTTCCGTTCTACACAGTATTTTGACTGTCTATAGGATCTCTTTGTCTTCTCATTCACTTCCTTCATCTTTCTCTCCGCGTAGATCTCGAGTTTTCTGTTCTCTTGATTTTGAACGCTTGATGCTTCGTCTCTTAGGATCTAATTTTGCGTTTTGTTATGTTTAATCTGATCTGAGTTTCTTATGTTGGTTTCTTTGTGGGTTGTCTTTGGTTGCTCATAGCTTTCTGCCTGTTAGATCTCGTTCCGAATATGGATGAGTTGATTGTTGCCGGATGATCATATCGAGTCAGATCTACTTTTTTTGTGCGTTGCTAGTTATCTTTTCCGGTGAATTCTTGGATCATTCCTTTGCTATAATATCTGCTGCGGGTTTCCTTTTTGTTGTTTTAGTGTATGGGTTATGCTTCTGATTTACATGCTAATATTGATGTTTGTAATTGTTGCTCGTGGATCGTTGGTACGTAGTAGATAGGTCTTTTGGCCAGTGGGCTGCCCTCTGGATGTCGTTAACAATCTATTCTTTTCTGGGCCCTACTCATAATTGAAGGGTTCAATTTCGATCCATTCGTTTGTAATGTTTAATTCCTTTGGCAGTATGAACAATCTGATTGTCTTCTCCTCCTTTGTAATTAAATCCAATCACGACCCATTTGAGCTTTGAGTTGCTTGATAAACCTTTGCTAGATTCCCATAGTGGATTTTTTTTTTGTCGATATTTAGGATGCGCGGATTATTTTGACGTGCTGTGTTCGTAGTGTCTCTGAGAAATATAGGTTGATTGTGTGATTGTACTGAGTTCGTAGGTTTGATCCTTGTCTTACCGTGGCTAACTGAATATGAGTGATTGGTTTGGATTTTAGATCTGTCTTAATCTAATGATTTCCTTTTACTTTCTCTTACTTGCAGGGAGAGTGACAATGGCTGATCAGGTCCAACATCCCACAGTGATGCAGAAGGTTGCTGGCCAGTACCTGGCCTCCCAGGACGTTCGGAGGTATGATGGTGCTTTCCAGATGCCTGCCTTGTACCAAAGGCGTGCATATGGAAACTACTCCAATGCAGCCTTCCAGTACTGCGGATCATCTTCTGCATCGGCCATTGTACCATCAAGTGGATCTCCTGTTTTTGTTCAAGCCCCATCTGAGAAAGGGTTGGCGGGTTTTGCTATTGATTTTCTCATGGGAGGAGTCTCTGCAGCAGTTTCTAAAACTGCTGCGGCACCTATTGAGCGTGTGAAGCTTTTGATCCAAAATCAGGATGAGATGATCAAGACTGGCAGACTTTCTGAGCCTTACAAGGGTATTGGTGACTGTTTTAAGAGGACAATGGCTGATGAAGGCGTTGTTGCATTGTGGAGGGGTAACACAGCTAATGTCATCCGTTATTTCCCCACCCAGGTTAAACCAACTTACCTAACTTTTCTCCAAGTTCAGTAACCAATTTCGTCTCTTTTGTTTTCTGATTACTTGCCTCTTTTTGAATATAAATTCTGTCAGGCCTTGAACTTTGCCTTCAAGGATTACTTCAAGAGGCTGTTCAACTTTAAGAAGGACAGGGATGGGTACTGGAAGTGGTTTGCTGGTAACCTGGGATCAGGTGGTGCTGCTGGTGCTTCTTCCCTTCTCTTTGTGTACTCTTTGGATTATGCTAGAACTCGTCTGGCAAATGATGCTAAGGCTGCAAAGAAGGGAGGTGAGAGGCAATTCAATGGTCTAGTTGATGTCTACAAGAAGACCTTGGCATCTGATGGTATTGCTGGGCTCTACCGTGGGTTCAACATCTCCTGTGTTGGAATCATCGTATACCGTGGTCTCTACTTTGGGATGTACGACTCTCTGAAGCCAGTTCTCTTGGTTGGAGACCTCCAGGTCAGTTCTCTTTTGTTTTCTGATGACTTGGGTCTTTTGGATTTAAATCATGTAGAATTTGCAAGTAAAAAATAGGCTTTCCCCCCTGATTTGTCTGTTGGGTACTATTATTAACACATGAACATCTTCTTGTTGGATCACTTTGTTACTGCAGGATAGTTTCTTCGCTAGCTTTGCTCTGGGTTGGCTAATTACCAATGGTGCTGGTCTTGCATCCTACCCAATTGATACTGTGCGCAGAAGAATGATGATGACATCTGGTGAGGCTGTGAAGTACAGCAGTTCGCTGGCTGCGTTCAAGCAGATTGTCAAGAACGAGGGAACCAAGTCTCTCTTCAAGGGTGCTGGTGCTAACATCCTCCGTGCTGTTGCTGGTGCTGGTGTGCTTGCTGGTTACGACAAGTTGCAGCTGATTGTTTTCGGCAAGAAGTACGGATCTGGCGGTGCTTAAGTTCCTTTTACTGGCGTCTCATTTTAGCCCTCTAGATGTTGATGAAAATCTTTCACCTTCCGGGAGAAGTTAGTCTTTTTCTGCAAACAGACGTTATGATTATGCTTCTTCAAATAATTACAATTTTTTTTTTGAGAGGGGGTGGGTGATAAATTCCCCCTGGAACTGCTTTCACTTCGGAATTTTGGATTGAGAAAGTTGTACCTTGATATAGTTTGTGGCCATGGTGCCACTGTCGGATATTTCTATTTTATGTTCTTGATTTTGAGCGATAATCTACACAGGGTCCGTTATCCTTTCTGTTATGTGCATGTTAATTTAGGGCCATCTGGTATGTCAACTTTTTAGCTCTTTTTCTACATGATTGAATGTTGGGTTTAGGATTTATAGCGCAGTAAATGAAGCCAATTTGTCAGTCTCGTCTTGTTCAAGGCACGATTGAACAGTTGCATAATTGCATAAACCATTCGTTGGCGTTGGGGGCAAAGTTGTTGCTTCGCTTACGATAGCTGGGAGTAGCATATTTTAATCCAGTATATGGCAATTGATACGCGATTCAAGAATCGTCCCAGATGCCATCATTCATCACGCAGAATATAATCCCCCAGTTCATTTTGCCAAGCCTCACTTTCACTAGGATCCCCTTCCTCTTCCCTCCATCGTTGACCATCTTCAATTTGGTCATGCAAGTTCGTTTCCCCACCATTTGATATGGACATCGGTATTGTCCAATGGTGGAAGGGAGCTTTTATATGCCAATGGCTAATTGCCAACCCAACCCAACTCAATATTAATATTAATATATATAAAGTGGAAGTTAGCTTACGGTTGCCAAATAATTTACATTTTCATACCTCAAATTTAATTAAATCACAACTTAGTTATTATAATATAAATTTTATATTTTGATACCCCGAATTTAATTTTAATATGAAATCATTGAACAATTATGTTTTGATATATAATTTTATGAGATTTTCATACCTACAATTTTTTTTCAAATTTACATATTTGTCCAATATTTATATTTCACTTGAGTCCATGAATCCAATCCACCAATCCTCTCGAACCAATTCATGAATCTAATCCACCATGACATAAAATTATAAATTTAGTTTGTACAATACAAGATATTGCATCACTCAACTGTAGGAGAAGATTCGACCATTTTATATTTGCTCATTATGTGAAACATTAAATAAATGATAAAAGAGATACGACTCTAAAATATTGCAAGAGCTAATTTATAAACTCATTGAGTACATTTACGGGGTACTAAACAAACTTCTACTTACATTTAATAAAATATGCGACATCTACGTAAGCGACTGTCGATAAATTGCTACGCTGAAAATGGTTGACTGTTGTATTGACAGCTAACTAAAAGAATTGGTCAAAACCTTTCTATAATCTAATTCATTTTCATTTCATTTTTCACTCGCCTTCCATAACCCTTTCTTTATTTCTTTCTTTTCCTTCTTCGTCTAATTACCCTAATTAGTATACTATTTTTATGTATTATAATCACAAGTATGAACGAGTCCATACATGACTCACCAACAGTCTAGAAAACTAATAATTGAACTATTAACCACTAACTTTTTTTAACTCAATGTCGAGCCAAATTTAAAATAAATATATATGGTTATTACTTATTGGAAAGTCGTCATTTTCCACTATGGGATTTGATATGTGTAGATATCTAGCTAAACATTTGTTTGAGTCCAACTGAGGGTAGGAGGTGAACTCGGAAAAGAGGGTGAGAAGAGTAACAACAAGAGGTCTAGAAAGGAGGTATTCTTAGAGAGAGAAAGCAGTAGTTCGTAATACTAGTCAGAGAGTGAAAAATGCGATCCCCTCACCCACCGGAGTAAATGCCGTATTTATAGGCTACATGGTGGTGAGCTCCCTGGACTTTCCACACGGCCACAAGTGGTCCCCCACACGGCCAGTGTGGCTTGCCCGTGCAATTTGGTGCCACACGGCCAGGTCACACGGCCGTGTGGGATTTTAGGCGTGCCCGTGTGGCTTTCCCAGCTTCTCGCCAAACGTCTGATCTTCGTCCAATCGACCCCGAACTCGTTCCCAAACCTTCATTCACGTACTAGGACCTGAAATACCACAAACAAGAACAACCTAGCGTGAAATCGGCCTAAAACACGAGAAATAAGACTCAAACGGTACAGGAATGGTGGATAAAAACATGTGTATATATCAAGTCATCAATTAGTTTATGAGATTTAGGCTGTGATGAGACATGTTGCCTAGATCTGACGAGTTCTTGCTCTAACTGAACCAACTTCAAATGCTTTGTTTCTAGTTGCTGCAAATATGCCTAAGGAACAACCACAACCAAAACCCTTGGCATAGCTCCCTTTTTAAGCAGTGGACCTTATACCACGTAACAACCAAATAACTATTACAAGGTTGTCAAACCGGTTTATGCCGGTGTGCCGGTTTTGTAAGTGGAATGGTCTGACCGTGGTACAACCAGTATTCATGCCGGTTGTGCCGGTTTTAATAAAATACATGAGGAAAATGGAAATCCTCAATTCCAAATATATTAGTCATAAAAAAGCAATTAGAAGAATTATTTCACACAAAATAATTTATAGCTAAGAATTGGTAACTAATACTAAACAATTAGATGCTTAAAAATAAAATTTATTAATGTTTATAATGTTTTGTATAAAATTTAGTATTAGTTATATAACATATAAGGTTAATATAGACAACAAAATTGCTTGTAGCCTACTGGTGTATAAGTTAAACTAAAATAAACAAGAGGTCCTTGGTTCAAATCCTATGGAAGATGTTTATTTTTGGATATAATATGGGTAACATTAAATTCCAGTTTCTGGTCTAACCGGCCGAAATTTCCGGATTTGACCGGATCTGACCGGCATTGACCGGATTTGACCACAGTTAAATACCGGCTCCTTTCCAGTCGGTTTGCTGACCGGTACCGGTTGAACCGTCCGGCATGAAACCGGTTTGACAACCATGAACTATTAACAAATGCAAATAAGATTTGACAGAATTCAACAAAAGAAGAGTGTGTTCAGGGAACTCTTTGTTTATAATTATGCAAATCCTCTAGCAGCAAATGTATAAAAAAGCCAATCCTAAAACTCATTTCCATTTTAGAGGCATAATTCATGTCGATTGAACTAGCATTACCAATTCCACCAAGGGACTTCAAAATCCAGAGTAGTAATGTTGCAGCACCCAAAACAATCTTGTATACTTCTGAACCTTCAGAAGAAAAACAAAACAAGTCTAATTACGTTGGTCTTAAGAAGATCATAATTATGTTGGTCTATGTAGATACGTTCAGAAACTAAATTGTGAAACTATAACCTGTAAACCCTTCATAAACTAAAGAAGTTAAAGAGATAATAAAAACGAATATCTAAAAGCTACTCGTTAGACAACAACATAAAACTCTGCAAAGAGAAAAGTACCAAAGCTATAAGAGAACATAAAGTACATTTTCATTAGCTCCCCTAGAAGTCACCCAAACTACAATTTTGACACATGAAACTAAATAAGAGAACAAACAAATTACACATGCTTACCAAAATTCCAAGGTGGGTGACCAAGTGAGTGGGCTGATGGTAAGCTATTTACCAAAATTCCAAGGTCGATGTCTTTGTGTTGGAACTTTTCAATTAAAGGGTGGTTCTGGGGGAGAAGAAAAAAGGTTAAACGATAAGTTGTTGACCGGAGAAATGAAACTTGAAACAAATGAAGTTGTAACACTCACCAAGAGATCCAATGACGACGATCTATCTCGAGGGTTCTTTTGTATGCGCTAGAATCACATGCAATAGTGAGTAACAATCCAAACTAGCTAGTAGTAAAAGTTTGAAATGATCAGGTATTACTTGTCCTTTTACTTTTCTCAACTTTGTAAGGGAGTAGGGAATCCATAGAATAAAGGAAACTGTGGCTTGGGTTGGGTTCTTGAGGTGTGGAGTTATGGATATCCTTATCACGCTGATAAGAATGGACATAATTCAGGAGAGAATGATATCAATTGATGGATGTCCCCTGCTCATAAATTGCTTTACCCCTGAATCTTTTCATAAACTATTACCTTCCAGGAAGCTAGAAGCCTTCGAATATAATTGACCGGGGGATGAAGGTAAGGATCTCTGTTGCTTCCGGGCATTCCATAAGACATTGAGAGAACCTCTGTTCCCCCGATAGAATAAACAATCAGTGGAGTCCCAATGCTCAAAGAATCGAAGGAGGAAGAAGAGAAATAAAAAAGTATTGTCTATTTTGCCAGAAGAACCCTAGAAATCCCAGTAGCACAGACCAAAGTGTGAATTTCAATCCCAGCAGCACAAAACAAAAGTATAAACCTAAAGAAGCATGAAATTTCAATCCCAAATCCCCGGCTCCACAGAAAAATGTTCATAAACCTAAAACAAGCATAGAATTTCAATCCCTCTACCTAAATTTGTAAATCTAGAACATCCCCAATTTTTCAAACTTTGAAATCCTAGAATTCAAATTTCGAATAAAATTGTAGAACCATAGGCATATTAACCGGAAAATGCAAGAAGAAGACTCGGTGTGTGTTGTAGGAGGAATGGAAAGACCCAGTTTGTGATGCTGCGGTGGAGGAGGTAATGGCGGAGACGAGATGCTGCGATCCCCTTTTCCGCGAAACACAATCGATAAAGAGATGCTGCAATCGACGAGCTTCTTCTTCTCGTCGTCACCCCTGCTCGCCGCCTTCACTGTCGTCGTCGAAATCCGGCTCGTCGCAGTCGAAGAGATGCTGCAATCAACGAGCTTCTTCTTCTTGTCGTCACCCCCTGCTCGCCGCCTTCACCGTCGTTGTCAGAATCCGGCTCGCCGCAGTTGAAGAGAATTGGAACGGTAGCCGCAAGCGAAGAGAATTTGAATGAAGAATAGGAACGGAGAAGCACAACCCTTTCCCTATTTCGATTTGATTTTTTTAATATTATCAAACTTGTCAACCGGTGCAACAAGTAATCAATACCAAAATAAATAAAAAATTAATTAATTCAACAAGATCCAATGGTTCACAATATTTAATAAAATCCAATTGCTATAAACGAATTAAAGCATCAATGTTATAAAGCATACTAAAATGCCTCAGCATTGAATTGACGATGATCGACAGTTTTCACTCTTCCGCCAAAAATGCGTATCCTAGATTTTCCAGTAGCACCTTCATCTTCCACCCCTGATGGCTCCACAAATGATGACTTGATGGTTGGTAGAGGTGGTATCTCTATCACTGGCGTTTCTGGTACATATTCGTCAGATGGTTCATTCAACCCTGTTGAGGTTGATCTAAAATTTTGTAGCCATCTTTTTCGACGATTAACCATCATTAAAGAGGATCATTAGAGTTCAAGTCCAAGATAGAGCAGACAGGTTAAAGTCGGTTTTGGTCTGGAAATTCTGCTTCATCACAGTTCTAGTAGGCGGTGTAGTCAAAATCGCGTTTTAAAACTTAAAAACTTACGATTTTACGTTTTTAGGTCACTAAAACGCTTCTACACAAAATCTCAGTTTTTAAAGCTTACGTAGTTAAAAACTCCTTTTCATAACTTAAAAACTTACGATTTTATGATTCTAGATCACCAAAACGTTTCTACGTAGAAAGTCGCTTTTGACTACATTGCTAGTAGGTATGCTTCATACCCTCTCTTTGATTGAATGTTGCTGCCTCTGACTCCACGGTTCGTGTAAGCTTTCTGTCATGTACGTCTATCAGTATCTGCTATACTAGTGTAGTCTGCAACTTGTCTAGGTGGTGGCTCCAATTTTTGGTTGCATTCTAGAGGTGGTAAACACTCTCGAGGCTCCTTTTTTCGTGCTTTCTGTGTGTCAATATATCATCAGGATATGGAGGTGGCATGGTCCTTCTAATCCGTGGTTTAGGATCTCTCCTAGCCTCCCATATATCTCAATGATACGATCTTCATAGGCTTTTTGACGATCCTTCATGTTGCTTACTTCTTCATGTAGCTTCGTTAAGATGAGACCATCCTTACTGGCTTCAATGAGTTGTGCCGCTTCTACTTTGTGACGTTCAAGAAGTTCTGGATTGATCTTCAAGAGACTTTTTCCCACTTGGTTGGATAGGTTAAAGATGCGGGCCCACACATCGGGATCTTCTTGTCGACTTCATTAAGGTATGGACTAGTTCCATGATAGAAGGGTCGAATCTGCACTTCTTGTCTAATAGATTTGCCATGTCAAACTGCCTCTTGAGAGTATTGAGTTTACATACTCCTTCCACTTACTTCTGTTCTTCGGATCTATTTGCAAGTTCCTCTTTCAAGGTGGATACTTGCTTCGTCAATGCTTCAATCTGTTACTTCATGTCTTCAAGTTGTCGATGCTTCAATTTGTTACTTCATGTCTTCAATATGGGCTCTAAGCTTGTCTGTCCTCCATGGGCGAAGGCACTCGTATAGGAATGATTGGCAAAGGGTCCCCCTTTATTAAAAGTGTTTAACTAATGTTCATCGAGTCAAACTCTTCCTTTTCCAATCAATGAAAAAAACGAGTCTTAGGCGACTGCTTCTCCTCCTTCTCCTTGCTTAGACAGAAAAATATTAAGGAATTCCCTTATGTGTAACACAAGGTCTTCATCATCTTATCCCCATAATCTTTTGCCTGTTGTACCATCCTTATTAAGGATGGCCTTCATTCGTTGCTTGTGGTGGGATGAATAACAACGCTAGAAATGAGATATGATGATCTCAGTTGAGAGTACTCAAATAATGATGGGCCACCCATATCTTCTTTGAAGTAACTTTTTGAGGGTTCTAGCCTCACGTTACTTTATTGAGTACTTAAGAGTTCAAGCCTTAAGTAGCGTCTCGTAGTACGTCCTTGTAAGATCTGCAATGCACTCTTTCTTGTAAGTTCGAGTTCTGCAACACAAAACAAAATAGTGCGTAATTATTTTTAAAGGATTCAAACGAAAGAGGTTAGCTTCCTCCAAATACTTTCAAAAGTTCCCCGACAATAACGGCAAGAACTTGATACGATCACTTTTGCTTGAAAAGAAATGCAATAAAAAGTAAACCCATTGTGAATGTTGACCGAATTCCTATCTCGTTAAGAAAATGAAAATAACAAAAGCAAGTAAATGCAATGAGGATTAAAGTAAGTAATTAAGACTATTTCTAGGTAGCTTCATCTAGAAGATCATGCATACCCACTCATTAATGGCATGCATTCATGCATCTCTTCTATTATGATGCCCTATCCCTTCCACTAATGCATTGCTAATCTAGCTTTCGCCACATGCAAAAGAAAATAGAACTAGTTAATGCGTGATTTCACTTCGTGCCACTAACTAATCAATCAATACAAGTAAGCAAGGATTGAACATTGCCATTTGGGGCCTCTATGAGCACATAACATTGGTTCTTGGCTTTGGTGATCTAAGTTATCAAGCATTCATCGTATACAAGCATGAAAGGTTGCGCATTCACTCAATAAACACATAAAGATAATAGCATATCATATAAGAGGAGTTTCCTAACAACTTATGATGATATTATAATCAAAACCAAGATAGCACAAAAATATGATAAAAGCATGATATAACATAAACATCTCATTAAATTATTGTAAGTGATGCATGAAACATCATACAATTCACATTCTTACAACAATTATTTAGCTATCCATAAGTGAGAGACACGATATCACCATCGATGATGAAGGCATCTCCATAGACCTCTGGCAAGGATCATACGTGTAGACTACAACAGGCTAGGCCAGAATTGCCAAGTAATATGTATACATGCAACATGTAGTATTGCCAATGTCTAGGGTCGTATTTTAGGGTATTCTAATATAAAATAATCTCGAACTAATCGCGTATGCTCAAAAAAAGACACAACAAACATAAAATGGATGGGTTGAGGTTCTCTATGAGTTGGTTTTTGAGATAGGCATAGATAAACAAAGAAAAATGTAATATAGATAAACAAGATAAGTGGAAGCCCTTAGCTGGAGAGCTTGATGAGCTTGGATTTATGCCGAGCTCAAAGGCGTGAAGAAAGAGCATTTAATGGGAGACAACCCATGTCTGACGTTCAACTTAAGGATGTAAAATAAAAGTGCTACTGATGAGACCAAACAGATTTCAGACAATCATCATCTTCATCACTTGCTTCTCTCTCGACAGATAATTTGAGCATGGATGAATGGTTTTATTCGGTATCAAACTATGAGATAAGTACCCACTACTCTATGGGGTTGATCCAAAACTTGAAATATTTGTTGATAGTTGTGATACGATTGATAAATGGTTTTATTCAGTATTTTTGTATCTATATTGAGGAGGAGAAGCATTTGTACTTACTCATTTTTGTTGCTTTTACCATTTTTATATTACTTACAAATCCATGAAGAAATAAAGGAAAGATGAAGAAATGAGCATGGTGATCCAATGCTGTCCAGAACTCCCCTATTAGACGCACCTTGCAAGGATTAAGAGAGCAAAGTCCAAAGAGAGAGGTATAAAGTCACGGCGGCCTAATGACAACTGACACCGCTGCAAAAATTCCTTTCCAAACTCTTCAAATTTTCGTTTCCTACAAGGATAAAGAAAGAAATCCGCATCATAAAAGGAAAGAAACCATGATGGTCAACACTACCAGGTTACCAGCGATATTTTTCCTTGTCCTACCAGAAAGAAGATGGCGGTTGGCAGCGCCACTAGGTCACCACACTTCTATTAAAGGAAGGCATCCCCTTCTGTTTCCCTCACTCCACTCATGAGATTCAAAGCAAATTTCGGTGATATAACTCGTTGGAACCCTTTTCCAAGAAGATTTTGTGAAGACCCATCCTTATGAGATGACGAGGGACAAAGGAGGAGTGCAATAAGGTTTTATAAGATCCAACCTCTTGAGGTGGTGGATACCAAAGAAGAAGCATCAAATCAAGGAGGGAAGAGGAAGACTGCTACTCTAATAATAACAACAAACTAGGAAAATGTGATGGCTAAGGAGCACATAAACAAACTAAAGCAACAAGCTTAAACAAGGGACAACTAAGCAACCCATGTACTATAAGAAACGAAATGTTCTTGGTTTGGGTTTCAAATAGTGAGGGAATGGGGAATGTATAATTAAGTGACCATTTTTGTGGTTGAGGGCCTAGTAGCAGTGAGTAAAGGAGTCTAGTTGGGAGGGGGAAAATACACACTAGCTTATATTTTGATATTCCTAGGTATTTTGGTATATACCAATCCCAGTCTCATAATTTATAAAATCAAATAACAATTGAAATTCAATTACAATCCCAATCCTAATCCCATAAAATAATGTGTATTTGGTAATACCAAATAACAACAAATAGATATGTCGGTTGTTTGGATGCATTATTTTGGTTAGGGGTGGGCATTCGGTTGGTTCGGTTTCGACCGAACCGAAATTATGAATACCGGGTCCCCGAATTCTCCCAAACCTCAAACCGAATTCGAACCGAATTATAATTCAGTTCGGTTCGGTTTTTCACATAAAACCGAATTTGTGAAGCTACTTGTATTTTGTCACTTTTAAATTATTTTTACCCCTAATATAAACAATAAATATCAATTATATGCATCATCAATGATAAAACCAAACTTTTCAACACATAAGTCTTAAAACATTTCAAATATTTAAGTCTAAAAACAACTACAAACATAAAAATCCATCATTTGGAGCTTGCAATTATAGTATTTCGGTATTTCGGTCGGAAATTCGGTTCGGTTGAAAGAGCCCTGATTTCCGAACTATCCATATTTTCCTTCCGAATTCCGAACCGAATAGCATTAATTTGGTTTCGGTTCGGTTTAATTCGGTTTCTGTTCGGTTCGATTCGGGTTTACTGAACCGTTTGCCCACCCCTAATTTTGGTTATGTAGTATTTCAAATCAATATGATGCATTTATTTTGCTATGTGACATTTCATATTGGAATTTGATAATTTGGTCACTTCTCTTGTTTGGATAAAACATTCAAATATTATGTTATTTCACCACTTAGAGAAGGGATGGAGTGAAAAAACAGGTTAAGAGATGAGTTATTTAAAATAACTAGAGGGCGGGTAGGTATTTCAAATAAGTCACAATGAGTTATTTCAATCGCCTCATGGATAAAATATCACATTCTATTTTATTTTGCCAAATGAGTCATTTCGACTGATCTATATCAACTAAAATACCTCATCGAATTACTTCATCCAAACAAACCAATGTTTTTCTAATATATCCCGAGCCCTACTATCACAAGCTTTATTCTAATGGTAGCTCCACAAAATGAATTTTTTTTAACGGCACTCTGGGGTCATTTGGATGAGTTAATTGTCAATGTGGTATTTGTAAAGTCAAATAACTCATTTAGGGTTCGTTTGCTTGAGGGTTTTGTTCATGGATTTTGACAAAGGTCCATTGTTTGTTTGAAGGAGTTAGAGAGTGTAAATCTGTGGGGCCCATGCACTTTTGAGGTCCAAAACCGTGGACCCCACGGATTTGAAAAAACTAGCTATGGAGGTGGGAATTGAGTGATGGATTAAAATCCATGATGGTATTTTACTTCTACCCTCCTACTTCAATTTCTACATATATGTCATACAAGGTGTTTTGTCACGGCTACAGAGGCCTGAATGATTATATTTTGAAATGGGTTGGCGAGGTGCTCCAATGATCACCAATTGGACCCTTATGAGTCACAAATGCTCGCACGAAGAACCCCGACATCACCACCATTGCAATCCTCCCATTTTTTATATCCTTCTACTTCTAGCAAACAACATTCTTGATGTCCTTTGAGTAATCACCACCATTGATTTATGTTATGCGTTGCCTGCTAAAAGAATGTCCTTCGAGTAATCGCCCCAATTGATTTATGTCATGCTTTGCTTACTAAAATGGAGACCAATTCAAACTTGCAATTAATGTTCACTATTTATCTCCCCCGACACTTGTCCTTCCAATGCAGCCTCCGACACATAAAATAGGGGTGGGCAACGGAAAAACGGATATTTGGGTATACCCATTTCCGTCCCGTTTTTTAAGGGTTACGGGTACCCATATTACCCGTAATTTTATTAACGGATGAGACTTGGGATTGTACATTCCTATTTTGGGTACCCGCGGGTTACCCGCAAATACCCGTTTGGGTAATATGGGTACCCGTTATACCCATTAAATTTAACAAAAGCAAAATTATTATTCATTTATACCCTTTCAATTAATCAATTCCTTTGAGGCATTTGACCATTTCGGCGACCCTTTCCCCTGTCAAGATAGCCATTAGCCTGCCCTTAACCCTTTCGGTGATTTGCTTAAGTCTTCTTCCCTTTGCAAACAACAACACAACAACAGCTTGCATAAGGCAGAATGCCAGAATCGCAGCAGCTTGGCACTTGCAGAAGGCGACCAACAGCTTGTAGAAGCCAGAGCAGCAACAACTTGCAGGAGCAGATCAGTAGCAGCATGTCTCCCATTTGGTTGTGTTGAATGGATCTTCTTATTTGATAATTTGGTGGTTGGAATGATTTATTTCTATGGGTTGTGATTGCTCGTAAATGTGTAATTTTCAAACCGAGTATTTGTGATTGGGATGGATTTTGTGATTGTTAAGCAAGTACAAGTTAAGTTTAAAGTTTTGTTAAAATTTTAGTGATTTAAACTTTGGGTATTTATGGGTAGTATGGGTACCCGTTATCCGTCCCGTACGGGAAATGGGTACCCGTTTCTCATATGGGTTTGGGACACGGGATGGACTTTAGTCTTCAAACGGGATTGGGTACCCGTTTCAAACGGGACAGGTATCCCGTCCCGTCCCGTTGCCCACCCCTAACAGAGAATGAACCATTTGCTTAATTAATGATGATATGTTGCACATTTGGAGTCTTTTTTCCGTTGTAAAATTATTGATAGGGGCAATAAGGTCAATTTCACGTAATATCCACAAATTTCATTAAACAAAATCCATCATGAAATCCATGAAACAAACAATGAATTTTTAAAAGTCCATAATGGATCTAAAACCTTCATAAATCCATGGATTTCTAAAACCCAGGTTTTACCAAAACCTTCATTTTTCAAATCCATGAAGCAAACGACCCGTTATTGTTCACGTGACATTTCAGTTTTATTTCAATAGTAATTGAGTTATTTGTAAATAACTCACTGTTCAAATAACTTATTTGAGACGATGCAAAACAAGTTCCAAATAACTCATACAAATACTCTATCCAAATTCCATGTTAATGTTTTACCCTTTTCTATTAGAACTTAGAAGCCACTAAAACGGGGAAAACGATGCCGCATAAAGTGCAAAGCTGCTGCCTCCCTCTCTCTGTCTTTTACAGTCTTCCCTAGTCTCTGCAATGGGGAAAAAGAAAAACAGACCCAAAGCAGCATAAAAAGCGGCCTCTGGCAGAAAGACAAGAAAGAAAGAAATAAAAAACCTACTACAGTCTACAGCTACAGCGGCAGCAGTTGAGCTGAGAGAGAAGTGTGAGAGAAACCCAGAAACCAAGAATGATAAAGTAACAACACGTTCACTTACTCTCGTCTCTTCTCCTCTGCTTTCACATTTGCCCTTCCTCCCGGAGCTTCATTCTTCCGCCTCTCCCTACTAAAAAGGTTTCTCCTCTTGTTCTTTTTCTGCTGTTCTGCTTTGATCTCTCTGTTTGGGGCGCCACAAATCAAACCCGTTCTGTGTTACTATGTCTCAAACTCAACCCCCTTCCGTTTTCTTTAAATAATTCCTGGAATTTTGATCGCTGCAATTCCTCAAAGTTTTCACCGTGCTTACGCCTAAGTCTTCAATTGTCATTTTTTACATCGTCGTGTTTTGTGTTTATCTGGGTCTCCTTTTTGGCAGGTTGTTGGTGTGTTTTTTTCCCGAAGGTTGAGAATTCAGGGAAAGAATGTTGGAGGGTTAAGAGATTTTCCCGAATGAGGTAACAGATCAGTGCACACTAGCTCAGAAAATGCATAAAAACTTCAATGCTCGCGCCTTGCCTTGTTTGTTTGACTACTGAGTTACCATTGTGTGTTCATGGGTTTATAAGATTGAAAAGTTTCTGTGTCTGTTGTTGGGGGCTGTGTATGGTGATGAAAGAAATTTCCCAAACTTCTTCTCTCTTTTCAGCCTTTGTGTTTTTTGTTTGTAGTCCTCTAATTTCTTTGAAGGTTTTGCCCACTACATATGGGCATTAAAACAAAAAGGAAGGGCTTAAATAGTTCTAGTGTTTTTATTATCATGGGGTAAACTGTGGGAAATTGTTGTCGATATTACATTCATGGTCTGGGCTGGCAATGCTGCCTGTAGTTCCCAGTCAGCATGGCTATTCACTGTTCCGCTTAGTCTGGAAATTAATGGCTTGCGTGTGAATAAAGTGCTTTTATTACGACTGGTGCAGGATTTCTCACTGAAATTGGAACTGGGAGTGTTTTGATCTGAATCCCAGTCGTCTTTGTATTGATTATCCTGAGGACTAGCGAAACTGTGCTGGTACTGAGGCTGCTCCAACACAAGAGCAGTAGTGCATCATGTAAGAAATTGTGGCCTAACAATGTTATTTATTGAGGATATGATCTCTCCTTTGTTTATCATGTGGTGCAATAACTGCATTCTTCATTAGGTCTTACTTCCACCTCCGGACTGATTTTTCAGATGGTTAATCATTTGGTTGAGTTTTGCAGCTATTTCATTACTGAATTCTTATTCAAGATATTGGCTTCAAGATGAACGAGAACAGGCAAACCGACTTGCATTATGCCAATACTGGCATTCCTTACACCGCCACAGAAAGCTTTATGGATTTCTTCCAAGTGCCAGTCAATTACGCACATACTGGACCACTTCATGATCACGTAGGTTGCTTTTCTGTAGTATGGTTTGAGATGACGCTTGATTTTCAGCGGTCTTGCTCCTGAAGTGATGATCTGTTGCAGTTTTCTGAGTTTTTATCTTCTTCGATTACGTGTAGGACAATTCATACTGGTCGATGAATATGAATGCCTATAAATATGGATTTTCTTCTGGTCCAGAGAGCACTTCTTATTACGACCATTATGAGGTGAATGATAATTTACCAGCAGTGGATGTTACCAGGAGAGCTTGGGAGTACCCTTCTGTGGCAAATGCCCAAGAGCCCACAACAGAAGTGCATTCTCAAGAAGAAACAACGGTCACAGATGTGCACACTATACCTGAAGAGTGTGAGTCCAATGTATCCTATCTCCTGTCTGAAGTTGATTCTGCATTCTGTCCCGATTTAATGGACTTAGAAGCACCGACTTTGATGGCATAAGGATGTGGGTCTTGTGATTACCAGTGGGTGAAAAGAGGCTGAACATCCTTTTGAAATAGCTTTATTGCTGTCTGAAACTCACTGTCCCCTGATCAAGAGTATTTCTGGCATTCCCTATTGAAGGGTGGTCATGAGACTTACAGCCTCTTCTTTTTGGTTATCTGCTTTTGTAGGCATATCAGAGAATCCAGGAAGCATTAGTCCCCAGGTAAGAAAGAAGCTCTCTTCTCCATCTTGTTCTTTGAGATTTTCTAATCGGTGAATTTACATCCCAGTTGCTCACATCACAATCTAGTAATTGATTTAAATAAAAAAGGTAATTCTTAACATTCAATTTCCACTTTCTTTTTTCTTTTCGGCAGGGCCTCTGGCAGGATGATATCGATCCGGATAACATGACCTACGAGGTTTGCTTTTATACCCCAATCACATTTTGTAATCCTAATAATGGTACAAAATCTAAAAAGATGCACCGTAGTTGAACTATTAATAACTCTTAGCATGAAACATCCCCATTCCATTTGCTTGTTGAAGCTGATGTATAAGGTGTGTAGCAGGAACTGCTGGACCTAGGCGAGGCAGTTGGAACTGAAAGCAGAGGCCTTTCCCAGGAACTCATCAGCATGTTGCCAACATCAAAATGCAAGTTTGGGAGTTTCTTCTCGAGGAAAAAGTCCGGAGAGAGGTGAGTTTGTTGTCAAGTCTTCTTCTTCTTCTCGTCCTCACTGGAATGTTTGGTCTCATTTCTTGCTGAGAGTTGATTATTTGGTTACCTCTACCAAGCTGTCACTAGAGAGTTTGATTATTTGTTTCGTTCTTTGCAGTTGTATTATTGTCTTTCTCAGAATCTTTTGTTTCAATGTGGATTGCCATAATCTTTTGGTGGTATTGATGCAGATGCGTGATATGCCAGATGAGATACAAACGAGGGGAGAAGCAGACAACTCTGCCTTGCAAACACATTTACCATTCTGAATGCATCACCAAATGGCTTGGAATCAACAAGGTCAAATCCCACATTCACTAAGTTGTACCCGGCCTTTCTCATCGATTCTCTCCACCTCTCTCACATTCTGTAATATGATCTTGTAGGTCTGTCCCGTATGCAACAATGAAGTCTTTAGCGAAGAATTAAGGCACTAGAATATCAGCCTGATGGAGCTCAGGCTGCCTTGGTCTTTCATCAATCCTCTTTTTCTTAGGTTTTCTCCTTTTCTTTTTGTGGATGTATTGGTTTTGTTTTTCCACACGTAGAGTTCAGTGAAGAGAGATTAGTAAAGGGCGATGTTCTCTTTCTTCCACCTATATAGGAAGTCCTTTTTTTGGGTGAAGGTAGTTGACTCCATTGTCAATCTGAGGCTGAGGAGTTATTAAGCCAGGTACGGAAGAGGCAGCAAAAAGCCAAAACGAGAAGAGTAGAAATATGGAGAATCAGAAAGAGCGGTCATTTGTGGTCCAAGATAGGGTCAGTAACCACTGGTTACTGACCCATCAGTAACCACACGGGAGCCGTAGGATTGGGAATGGAGCAATCCTACGGCTGGGCTGGATGTGGAGTGGGGAGGGGCATTTTTGTCCGTTTTTGTATTTTTTATTTTTTTTATTCATTCCGCATTTCAATGGCTGACTTTTCAATGAAAAAGAGAATGCATTTTCTCTGCAACTCAACTTTCTTCCTTCTCTCTTCTTTTCTTTCAATCTCTTTCCAAATCTTTTCTCTTTCTCTATTCCTTCTCTCTTACTTTTTCTTTCACAATCTCCTTTTCAAATTTAGATCTGCTATCTTCCTTCTTCATTTTTTTCTCTAGCAATCGACGAATAAAAATTGTAGCCACTCTCTTTCTTTGCATTTCTTCTCTTCATCAACTCGTTGGCCTCAATTCCGATCTTTCTCATTTTTTTGGCATTTTGGTGTTCTTGATTGAGGAAGAGGAAATGAGAGGCATCAGAAGACGATTTTTTCTCTCCCTCCTTCTGTTTTTTTTCCTTTTAGATAATATATATTGATATTATGACTCTATACCATATGGTATTAGGTGGTAACGAAATATATATTGATATTACCACACTATACCCTATGGTAATGTATGGTATTGCGTGGTAACGAAATATATATTGATATTACCACTCTATACCATATGGTATTGTGTGATATTACCATACTATACCATATGATATTGTGTGGTAACGAAATATATATTGATATTATCACACTATACCATATGGTATTGGGTGGTAACGAAATATATATTGATATTACCACACTATACCATATGGTATTGGGTGGTAACGAAATATATATTGATATTACCACACTATACCCTATAGTATTGGGTGGTAACGAAATATATATTGATATTACCACACTATACCCTATCGTATTGGGTGGTAACGAAATATATATTGATATTACCACACTATACCCTATGGTAATGTATGGTATTGCGTGGTAACGAAATATATATTGATATTACCACTCTATATCATATGGTATTGTGTGATATTACCACACTATACCATATGGTATTGGGTGGTAACGAAATATATATTGATATTACCACACTATACCATATGGTATTGGGTGGTAACGAAATATATATTGATATTATCACACTATACCATATGGTATTGGGTGGTAACGAAATATATATTGATATTACCACACTATACCATATGGTATAGACTGGTAATAACTGGAAAAAAAATTTGTGTCAAAAAAATATCAAAGTGGATATCATTTTGAAAAGCATAATTAATCTGATCTAACTGTGCAAAAAAAATTAAATTTCGACTTAAAACGAGTGAGAAATCGTCCGTTAAAGATTAAGATAAGGAAAATTAAAGGTTTTTCGATGAGAGAGAAGGAGGTCCTGATGTGGTCGGTCAAAAGTCAGCGCGTCAGCGCGTCAGCAATAAATAGGGGATAAGTGCATTTTACCTTACTGCCCTTCCGCATTTAATTTAAATAAAAAAGTGGACTGACACGTAGAGAGAGGAGAGAGGGGTTACTGATGGGTTACTGACCCATCAGTTACTGACAAGATCCGCTCCTGTCATTTGTGTACCGACCCCCTGATCAAGTATGGATTTTGCAGAAGTATAATATATATATTTAAAGCTTGCCATTCTGTTATCTTGTTGCTGTTGGAGCTGCTTGGTACTTCTTTCGGTGTTGTAAATGGAAAATGTAAGGGAGCTTCTTTTTTCTTCCTTTCTAATTTCTATCCTGCCCACTCTTCATTAGCAAATCGGTGAACCAGACCATGTTGCAATATGAAGCGTGCGTACAAATTCATAAGCAAGCGGCTGGCGTAGTCAAACATTGAATAGACTGGAGTCCCTTTAAAGTCCGTGTATTTAATGAATTTTCTGTTTATTGGTGTCCTTAGATGAGCTAACATCGCTGAGAGTATGAGGTTCTAAATTCGAAGGATCGTACCAAACCCTGCTTATCTAAAGGGTTTTGTGGCCTCGTAATTTTACAAGTGAGTTCCTAGGACCTCTCTCCTCAAGACGTGGCTCCGCCACTGCCTGAAAAGATAGTGACTCCCTAAAACAACACTCCTGATACTGACCAAGTGTAAGACAATGTAGTTTAGTGGTACAAGTAATAAAATATCGAATCCATGAGGTTTCGAGATTTATTATTACTCAGCTTCGGTTTATTAATTAGCAAAATCGATTTGGATAAACTAACTAAACTACTCTACAAATTAGTAAGTACAGGTTGTGAAGTCACTCAGGTATTCGTTTCCCCTAGTTAGTAGCCGGATATTGATTGATGATTCTCTAATTTGATTCACTCTTCATTCATAATGCGGAGAGTTCTTGACTAGCCCTTGAATCTCGACTAAAGCAATCAAGGCCCTCTTGAGACGGTTGCTAAGAGGGACATATCCTTCTCTAAAACAACCGATTAAGGCGTTCTATATTAGACTCCATCTATTGTGTGAGGTTCTCACTCAAAATGTTGCAACAAATTGACTCACTCTCGTCTCGTGCTATTGATCCCTTACATCCAGTCTATGGTGCTCTATTGACCTAGTATTCCCTTTTGAAGAATAACACATTCTTAGATTGAATATGAACTAGAGTTTAGCAAGATAGAGTGCTCATACAATCATCCAATCAAACAAAACATAATTAGGTTTCCTCAAACCTAGGTGAATAGAAGTTACTCCATAGAGAAGAGAGAGAATGCAAAAATTTGATCTAGATCTTCAATCTCCATCTCTAAGCTTATTCTTAGAGCTCTAATGGCAAAGAAATCATCCAAAATAGCTTCAAGAATGTTCCTAAGTCATGCTCTCTCTCTAGGGTTCATCCCTTTGGTGTTTGAGATCCAAAAACCCAACTCCCTTGATGAAAGACCCGCATCTACAACTTATACCCACAACTGAAAAAGCAACCCAAAATGCGCGGTCGTTCTTTTGGTTGCTCAGTCCGTGCTTTTCCCAAACGCACTGTTACCACTTGATTCATAATGAGAAAGCATGGGTGAGCCCTTGAAAAGCACAGTTGTGTTTTTCGAAGCTCATGTCCATGCTTTTGGCATTCTTGGAAAAGCATGGTCATGCTTTTCACTATGTTGGCACTCCTTATTCCCAAATGACCTCCAAATGATCTTAAATTTGCTAGGGCCTAAAATAAGGGATGAACACAACCTAGCATAAAATGGTTAAGAAAAGCAAGTTCTCAAGATAAATGGTTAAGAAACAATCAAGAGATAGGGGTAAAACATGTATAAATGAGCTCGTATCAAACTCTCCCACACTTAACCATTTGCTTGTGTCGAGCAAACCATACTCAAACTAGTGCAACTCACCAGACCTCCGTGACAACATGTGACTTTGCACCGTAGCTAATGGGTAACTGCCAACTTACGAGGCCAACCCTCACACGTAGAGACTCGACCACGCCAGTGAGCTACAAATTTTGTATGAAAATTTCGGTTGCTTTCATCACTCACATACAATCAACTATGCACAACAGTATAAAAAACCCCATGAGGTGATGCTTTTTGCAAACTTTAATTTTACTTTAAGCACAATCGTACCTTTTTTCTGGTAGCGAGAGTTTCGCTCCCTTTCTTTTGTTATTACTTGCCATTCCACATATTTATACACAAGAGAATTGTTTACTACTAACATGATCGAGCAAGAAAAATTTCCCCATCTTAGCACTCGCATAAGGGCTTCGTTTAACTTATTTTCATCGATCCATGTGGAGCATACATGCAAACAAGGGGTGTCGGAAGATTAATCTGTGCCCTTTAATCACAATATAAATGACACTTCACTCGATATAGGATTGTACTAGATGAACAACAACGTACTGTCATGAACCGATGCTTAGTTGAATCTTTTCTATTCTCCCTATGCAATGAGTGAATGCCTCACACGTTGGCATACCCCCATACTTTATTTTTATTGGCAATATTAGATTAAAAATTGTTGTAAGGTAGTATTTGTCTTCATTCATTGATAAAGATACAATGAACCCCACCTCAAACTTTTCAAAACAAAGAGACTCATATGCATAGCTTAACAGTTCATAAGAGACAAAAGTTGGCATTGTATCTAGACATGTCGACTTATAGTCAAGTCTCAGGACGAAGACATTATGCATACTATACTATCCTCCTCAGATCACATGCCATCAATAAGAAAAGTAATTCAAATCATGCTGAGAACAAAATTGAATAGGACAATATACTCGGAACCCTCAAAATTTTAAAAATTTGGATTGTGGAAGTAGGCTCTAAGATAAACATCAAATCATCATACTTAAATACAATGAAACATACCCACACTTAATCATGACATTGTCCTCAATGGAGGAAAGATAAAGAGGCTAGAACGAGGTTACTAGATCAGTGATGAACGATGTAAGGGTCGGGATATAGGGCAGAAGAACCTGCAATATTCTAAAGAGTAACACGTATACCAAAACACCACAAGCTCACAAAGTTTGAGTTATTAACTTGAAAATCAAATGAAAAACTAACTCAAGCAAAGAGCAAAGGGAAAGAAATGCAAAACCAACTAGTTTTGTTGCCTCACAATATGCACTTCTTTAACGTCGGTCCAACCCAAAACCTTCTTGAAGTTGAGGTTCTCATCGATGAAGTGGAATCACATGTCCCGAGTAGTTGAGGAGACACGTGGTGTAGGCTCATAGACTTAATTCATATGGAAGCTCCAACCTCAAGACATCTCCTTTTCTTCTTCTCTCTTTTCATTTCCCCAAACCAGTTAGGATAAGATCGATTGACCACCACAACATACATACAGAGCGATCGATGATGGTGTGGCCTTGGTCTAGCAAAGGGAAACCGAAAATGGGTACTTCTCTAGTAGCTCATCAAGGCTGGGTGAGGATATTTGGAATTAATCTGGCCATGTAGAAGCCTCAACCACATCAACCTTGTCCTTTTCTTGGACCTCAATTGCTTCTTCAACCTTAAGCTCATCCCATTGGGATAAATCAAGAGCTTCGTCCTTGATAACGATGTAATTGCACATATTTGCGCCCCTAGTTCTTATCCGTTTGAGGGGCATAGTCGTGTGTTTTTGGCCTATTTTACGCCGGGTTGTGCTACTTTGTCATATTTCAGGTCCCAGGCGTCAAAGGGAAGGCTAAGCACGAGTTTC